TGTGTGTGCATCTGTGCACGTGTGTCTGTGTGTCCGTGCTTGTCTGCGTGTGTGTGCATCTGTGCACACACGCGTGTGTGTCCATGCTTGTCTGTGTTTGTGTGCATCTGTGCACGTGTGTGTGTCTGTGTGTCCGTGCTGGTCTGCATGTGTGTGTCTGTGTCCGTGCTTGTCTGCATGTGTGTGCGTCTGTGCATGTGTGCGTGTCTGTGTCCATGCTTGTCTGCATGTCTGTGCACGTGTGTGTCTGTGTGTTCACGCTTGTCTGCGTGTGTGCGTCTGCACGCGCACTTCTGTGTGTCCGTGCTTCTCTGTGTGCACGCGCGTGTCCATGCTTGTCTGCGTTTCTGTGCACACGCATGTGTCTGTGCGTGTCTGTCTGTATGTGTCTGTGTTCATGCTTGTCTGTGTGAGTGTGCATTTGCATCCGTGCATCTGTACATGTATGTCTCCATGTGTGGTGTGGAGGACACAGGAAAGAGGACGGAGGGAAAGGCACCACTCACGGAGGAGGCGCTGGAACATTTTCCCTTTGTTATTTTGGGTTTGGCAAAGATGCACTTCGCGTCACGCAAATCAGGTTTCTAAACATTAACCTGAGAGAAATGACGTTTTGGGGCTGCCGGTGACTCTCGTGCCTCTGCTGCCCCCTGGTGGCAGCCCCAAATCACTTCCAGCAGGGCCCCCCCACCCCAAGGGCCCCAACCCCAGGCAGGCAGGGCACAGATCCCCCGCCATGGCTCTGCAGAAACCTCTGCCTGGAGATCTGGAAATGATGAGAACAGCACAGCGAGGTCCCTGCATCCTAAGTGCAACCACTGATGGCTGTTTTTCACAACACAGGCTTGGCAAAATCTCTGCGTCACTGAGCAGCATTTTAACCTCTTGAATGAGATTCCTCCCACCTTTCGGATACTCTTTCTGCAGCTCTCACCGGACAGGTAAAGCCGCTCATTCCTGCTGAGGCTGCCCCCACCCCGCTGAGGGCCTTAGAGGGGCAGAGACCCAGCCGTAGGCTGCCCACACCTCAGCCCCACCGCAGGGAGGCCTGGGACTTGGGAACTGGCCGGCCAGTCCTGAGAAGCTGTCGGACAGACACCAGGTACCCCAACTGACGGGGTGGGGACGGTCCAGGGGTGTGGCACACCCGGAGGGAGGTGAAGGGGCACTGCCTGTGACCTGTCGCCTTAACAGGGCCTTTGCGTCTGGCGGGGGTGTCCGAACCTGGAGCACTATTACAGTGAGCAGAGAGCAGGATGGCTGTCCTCTCCAGCCCCTGCCGGCTGTGCCTCGGGCAGTGACCACAGAACCCACTGGCCGTGGCCAAGTGCTCAGTGCACGACCCAGCCTATTCTCGGTCCAAGTCCCAGCTGCCCATGCACACCCAGCCGTGCTGTGCCCCTTGAGGTGTACATGGGGAGGGCCTTGCTGGGGTGCGTGGTCTGCAGAAGTGGCCTCACTGGGCCCCTCTGAGGTCCCTGGGGCTGGTGGGCTCCGCAGGGTTTACTCGGGGCTTGCCTGTGACCCTGGCCCGCATCCTGCCAGCAGGTCCCATCTATACAGCGCTGCCTACGAGAAACCCAAGTTCATTCCTGTAGCCAAAGGAAAGGTGCAGCATGTGGGAGGTGAGTGGGCTGCACGGGGCAGGGGCGGGAGCAGGGCTGATGCCTGCCGAGCCTCAGGGCGCCTGCACCCGGGCCCTTTCCTCCCAAAAGCTGAAGGCCCACCAGGGAGCCCTGGCCTGCTGTCCAGGAGGCGTGGCCTCCCCAGCCCTCCGCCCACAGGGATGGAGAAGTCTGTAGAGCCTGTGACACTGGGGAAACAGGCAAAATGGGCATGTGCTTCCCCGGGCCCTGGAGGCCCATCCGCTGGCCATGCAGTCATGTGGCGGCCCCTCCACGGCACGGGCCAGGCTCTGGGGGACCCTACATGGAGGAAGGGGCTTCCGTCCATGCAGCCTTTCCTGCAGGGACAGCAGCCTTTGCCCAGTGCTCACCATGCACGGTCCAGCTGCCATCCTTAGCCTGGGCAGCGACGGAGGGTGTGTCCATGTCCCCGCAGTTCCCTGCAAGGTTATGCGGCTGGCTGTGAGTCCCACCGCCTTCTCCCACCTGCTGGCCTGTGCCCAGGAGTTCCGGAAGGAGATCCAGGCCCAGGCGTACGCAGAGGACCTGCTTCTGAGCACAGGCTCGGTGAGGCCCTCCAGGCTCCAAGCCGCTCTGCCGGGACCCTGTGTCCCCCACCCCTGCGAGCCAGAACCCCAGGAAGGGGTAGGCAGGGGCAGGACGCTGGACCAGGCCGCTGAAGGGTTTGGACCACCCTGACACCGAGGCACTGCCCAACTCCCAGGCCAGGCTCCAGGCCGGGGAGAGCACTTGGGCTCCTTGGCCATGTCTGATTCCTGAAGCACAGAGGGGCCTGGCCAACTGTACTCCTCAGAGCTTAGGGTTGCCGGGGCCCAACTGTCCCTGCAGGCAGGACCCTCCATGATGCAGGCAGAGGAGACGGGTGGGAGCTGGGGTGTCAGGGTGACCCCCTAGGGGATGGGTGAGATGCCCCTCTAGGGAATGGGTAAGGTGACCCCCAGGGGATGGGTGAGGTGACCCCCAGGGGATGGGCAGGTGACCCCCAGGGGATAGGTGAGGTGACCCCCCAGGGGATGGGTGAGGTGCCCC